ATAGGTATCTCCATTTCAAAATTGGGTTTAATCCCTTATCCACCAGTCCCCAGTAGTGTTTGGATAAGGAAGTCTGTCTACTGAGGCATCTATATCTAAATGAGCGTCTATGGTTGTATAGACGCTGCTTCCAATCACCGGCGGATATACCTATGTATCTTTTTTTCTCGTTTATATTTTCCTCGGGAAAGATAGTTGCCTCGTATATTACATTTTGATACTTACATTTACCCCCGATTGGACAATGGTCTTTATTCCTACAATTGTAGGTAGGGCTACTAGATTGAGTTCCATTACTGTGGTAGTTTCTAAGTATTCTGCAATTATGGGAAGATATGATTTTCTCTATATTTCTAACGCATGAGTAACTAATTTTTAGAGTCTTCCTATTGAAAATTTTACGTAGTGGATGTTTACTGTGGAAATGTTTATCAATTAATTTCAGAAAGAAACTTCCTATATCAGTGCTAGAGAGTCTGCAATATGGTGGGTTGAACCATATTACCTTCCTCTTTCTGTTCTTAGTTTTGTTATTATTCTGATTTTACACGTTCTCCATTAAAGCTTAATTCTTGTCTAAAACCACTATTTTTGAGGGCCTGATTGTATATAAATTTATTATCATTAAAGATTTTTTGGCTCGTATTTTTATTCTCGTATTCACAGTTTTGGGGATGTGATCTATCACATGTTTAGGGTGGTTAGAGTGGACGTTGATGTATAGGGGTGTTTGATCAACTTTATGGAAGGGTTTAAAGGTATTATCCGATAGATTAAGTGTAATATCCAAAAAGTTGACTATTTTCAGGTTGAAAGATATTTCAATTTTAACGCCTAAGTATTGGAAGGCACTAATCTTCTTATGTAAGCTGGAAGTCAAGGGACCATTGCTATTTGGGACAATGATTAAGCCGTCATCTCTATAAATTACGACTTCCAATTTACATCCTGAGAAAAATGTGATATTTGAATGAATGCTCAGAATAAAAAGAGTCATAAAAATTCAATACCCACCTTGGTGACTGTCTTGTTTGCTAAGTGAAAGATAACTTTAACTTTATTCACGTTTCGTGTTTTTATAACCTTGACGCTTCGTGTCGGAACGGCTTTGTCTCCGAGTGTGATTTCGATTTTTGGTTTCTTGTCGTTCTTTTTGGATGTCCACACATCACCACCAGGTCGTATGTCTGTCGGCTTCCGTCCATTCTTTGTAGAGGATGTCTTGATATTTCGATTTGGAATATAGGCAGGATTCTTCATGCCATCGTCAAGATTACACAATTCTTGCCGCCCTGTTGCTGCAAGAAATATAGTTTTCATGAAGTTAAACAATAACTTAACTATGCAACATTAATTTAAAACTGAATGAAAATAATTTTTAGACTGAAATTGAAGGTATTTAGTTCGATCTGTTTGGATGATACTTACTTGTTAAGAACGGCCTTTGAGATGTGCCTGCAAAAATAAAGTAAAACTGTGGTAGTCAGATGAACAGAAAAAATCTGTGTAAATATATATGGAATGCGTTTTTTTAAATAACAAAAAATATATTCCGTCTATCATTTGCAGCATATTTTTCTTCTAAGCATTTTGTTGCTTCTTCTTTTTGGCCCCCTGCTTCCTTCCCAGCGCCCCATCTTGCATCCCAATGAAGAGACGTCTTATATTCAGGATAATGAAATTCGGAAGCAGCTTATTTGACACTATAAACGTATATTTTGTGCATTTTACAAAGAGAAAGATACCTAACTAAAGCAATTCCTTCAGCATGAATGAGAAATTTACATTTTTAATGGGATGCATGTATTTGGAACAGTCATATCAGCTTCTCAGTATTAGATTGGAAAACACTGAGAAAGGAGCTGAAATCCCGATGTGTAGTAATTTTCTACCTGGCTCTTTGCTTGGAAACAAATCGAAGACAGCAGATCTGAAACACCGTTGCACCTAATGTGGTGTTGGGAAGGGAATAATGTATATCTTGACTTTTTTTCACAGTGAACGGTTACAATCAGAAATGTTTTTTTTATAACCAAAGTGCTTGATATGCTTTTTGAACTTTGGGGAGAAACTGTTTATTCTTCTACCATTCCTGTTTCCTTATTGCTTTCCAAACAAGACATTAAAACCCCCAAGACTCAAGAGAAAAAAAGAAAAAAGAAAAAAAAACATTATTAAGGAGAGAGAACAATAAAAGAACAAGAATTAAGAAAATAGCGATTGACATTGCATTTAAAATTTTGAAGTTCAAAGTTGGCTGGAAATCATGGAGCTGGAAGAGAGTTCCACAAGCGAGAAACGCGAGTGAATAAACTGTTAGCATAGCCCATACGGTTACATCTAGCCATTTCAGCTGTAAAAGGATGAGACCTTGACACTACTGTAGTAGTACACTTAAATTCATAAAGCGAAGAGGCCATGAAAGTATTTATAGAAAAGGCAGAGGGAAGATACTTTACGGCAGTCGGAAAGTGACTGAAACCGCGATGCCAGGTTAGGACCAATAACATTGCACATTCTTCTTTGTATTTTATCATTTTGTATTTTTACCAAGAATCTCTGAAGACATAGCAGAAGCATCAGACCAGATGTGACAGCGATATTCAATGTATGGACAAATGGTAGGATCAGCTAGTCTGGAACCGCATTTTCCTTCAGTTGAAAATTGATTGAAATGTGTCAGTCAATGTGAGCAATGTCATACATTGACTTTCTGTGTTCATAACGGGTAACAGAAGACAAGTCTTGAATGAATTCAACAACTGAGTTAAAATGGGAACAGAAACGAAGCGTGAAATTGCCCTTTTTGATGTCTCCTAACTTCCGTATGCAACAGAAAGCGTTCAAAATATTCAATATTTTTAATCCAGGCCTGTCAAATAGCCATTAATTGAGAGCATGTATATTTCCTGTCGTAATCGTGATGTGAAGATGATCAGCTATTATTTTGGGGACGAGAGACTAGATTTTACCTCTGAATTACACAGTGCACCGTAAATATACAAGATATGGCTTTCATTAAAGAAACTTATAAAGCTACGATGATGACAAGTCATTGAATGATTCCTTGATTGCCTTCCTTAGAAGCTATTGGATGAAATGTCGGTAGACGAACATTCGAGTCTATATCACTACATTTACAATTCTAGAGCATTTAGCCTCGCAGAAGTCGGCTGTGCACAATAGTTCGAAATTTTAAAATCGGACAACACATAAAAGCATGCGTTTGTGCATAATTCTTAGGTTAATCGTATTCTTTGTAAAGCAGACATGTTCCTTAAGTGTCAATGATTTCGAATTTTTCTAAATAAAAAAAATATGACTTTGTTCTAATCCAAATCCGGCGTCCGTTAAAAACATTTTCTAACCGCTGTCCTTGAGCTAAATGTCTCTTCACTATTATCTTTCCACCGCCCCCAAGGGTAGCTTAGGTTTACAGATCCTGACGCAACATTGTAGCAGGAAATAGTGGGATATTATTGTAAGATTATGGTAATTCTACTGAAGACAGAAATACCGTTCCTTTTATGAAGACCGTTGGACGAGTGATGAATTAAATATTGTGTAAAACTACAAAACTAAATTACGGAATGCTGTGTTAGATTTGAGCAGATTTAAGAGTAGCAGTTTTAAAATGTATAAAAACCGGGATTGTTTCTAATATCTTAAAAAGGACGGCGTAGAAAGTGAAGATAACAATTGTGGTAAGCGCCAGAACTCTTTAAATCACCAGAGCAACCCGTTGAATAAATTACAGAATTCATAAGGGAATATGAGAAACGGCTTTGATGTCTTGGATAATCGTAGAAAGTATTTAAGACGTGTTTAATGAAGACGTGTTTAATGTAATTAAATTATCTTACCTGGTGTTGATGCTGTTGTGGCGATCTTTCGAGGGAAACAGGCCTTGATGGACAGAGCAGCCCTCACCGGACGACGTCGATTCTTCTTAGACAGATACACCTCGACGCTTTGGACTTTCATCTTTGGTTGGTTATTTATTGCCGCTTTACCGGGTCTTGTGAACTGTTTGACGAGAAGAGACAACGATAAAGTTTATTGTCAAATGGGAAGAAAGATGACAATTTTTCATTTAATTTTGAAGCGTGAAAAATATAGAAACTGCAGATGAGGCTTTCAATTCATTAGCGAATTAACGTTCGTATTTTGGCCAATGACCTTTGTCCATTCTCCAGTGGCAAAACAACTTTACCTGTTCTTAAGAATTGTTAGGCAAGAAGACAGAACGATAAAATTTATGCTCAAAAGAGAAGGGATATGGTAGATGAAAAAAACTATTGATATTTAAAAAACTATAGAAATTACAGAATATAATGTTTTCAATTCATGAGCGAATTAGCGATCATATTTTAGCCACTGACCTTTGTGAGTTTTTGTCCGTTTTCTAATCGGAAAACAACTTTGACTTTTTTCACGTTGCGTGTCTTAATAACGGTGACTCTATCCGTTGGAACCCCGTTCTTACTGAGAAGGACGGTGATTCTGGGGCTTCTATCAAGTTTTGTCGAGCTCCATACTCGACTACCAGGTCGGACGTATTCGGGTTTACTTCCTCTCTTTGTCGAACTGGTTTTGATATTACTGTTCGGGATGAAGACAGGATTCTTCATGCCGTCCACGTCATCACAACGTTGTGTCTTTTCTGTAAGAGAACAACAGAAAATATCAGTGCATTATGATGAGCAACACTATACATGACGCCGCTCATCTGCAGATTTGATAGCAATCCTAATCTGGGCGATTCTATTGTTTGTACAAAACACTTTTAATCTTCTTTTTTGATGATAAAACTGATTTTCTGTATTGTGAAACAGATTTGATAAACTTGAATTAAAATACTATATACGATATTTATATAATTTTATCAATGTGAAGAATGAATAAAAAAATATTTTTCAATATTGTATATTAAAAATAGTGATATGAATTTCCGTCTCTTGGTTTTAATGGAGAATTAATTGATAAATTGATAGACCTATGAAATGTACCTGCATCTGATATACCTCTTTGATTTTAGACGCGACTACTTTGTACTCCTTAAATGAAAATTGTGAAAACATTTTATCAATGTAGACTGCAATGCAACATTAGTGTTGCTATTTGAATACATGAAAAACTTTTTTCAATGAAGACAATAATAATCTATTATTGAGAGGCAAATAAACAGCTTATGTTTTTTTATGGTTCTTGCTTATTCTTATTGGATATGTAAATGTAGTTTCGACAGATAAGAAATATTGCAGCTTTTTTTATTTTATATTCATTTCTATGTTTGGTCGGCTCATGAGATTTTTGTGACCTAGCATATGTGCTGATTCATTAAGTTTACGAATTTTCCAATGATGTATTTTGTCTATGATTTCAACGTGATCCGTTTAGCTTGACATTCCAAACACCTGAAGAAGGCCGGGGCGCACAAAGGCCGAAACGTTGTGATAAATATGGCAACAAAGATGAGAACAATAGTCCGAATAATGTAAATAGTGTAGTAGGAGGGGATTCTAATATCTTTACTTTTGTAAGGTCAGCTGGCACAGAAGTGAAACAAAATGGCATCTATGAGGTTGAGTAAAATATATATATATATATATATATATATGTGTGTGTGTGTGTGTGTGTGAAACAAATAGGAAATGTTTATCGATGTAAGATGTTTCACTTTTATTAAAGCTTCATTAGAGAATGAGATATGGAGAAAAAAATTATTTCACTATTTCTCGTTCCCCGACGAAGCTTCAATAAAAGTGAAACATCTTAGATTGATAAACATTTCCGGTTTGTTTTTTTATCTTATCATTCTGTCGGATTCATTTCCATATCTGATCTGAATTTGATCCCAACTCATAAATGTATAACATTTGTCTTTGAATGTCACTTAGGAAGCGTTAACAACTTTATTTCGACATAAATGTTTTTGTATATCTATTACAGACTGGACGTTGCAGCAGAGAATTATGGAATATGAACAGAAGTTTAAGGGAATTATAGAAGAGAGGGGAGAGAGAGAGAGAGAGTGACAGACAGAGGAGAGAAGGAGAGAGAGAGGTTTGAAAAAAAAAGAGTGGGAGAGATATAAAGGGAGAGAGACATAGGGAAAGAGAGAGAGAAATCGGTCGAAGAGAAATATTGTATGTGATGTAAACTTTGCGAAAAATATCAAAGAATTGTACATATTTACCCGTGACGGTAGATTGTATTGTTGAAAGAAAAGTTGATGGCGTTGCTGTAGTGGTCTTTGGATGGAAACAAGCCTTGACAATCACTTCAGCACTAACTGGTCGACGTCGATTGTTTTTAATTAGGAAGACGATTAACTTGCGGACATTTTTATTTTTGTCGCTGACGTATGCTTTCTCATCCGGTTTGACAGTCTGCAAAAAACAATGCAACCCAAAGATTACACAACGTTATGTCTTCCTAGTTTTGTGATTTTCAAACAAACATTAAATGTAAAAGGTAGATTGTGTCGTAGAAATTGGAGTGTCTTCTATGTTGTCATTACACAAGATTGTTAGTCAATGATGTTGGCTAAAGCCAGACGAGCCAAAGTAAACTTGGCAAAATTAATAAGAAAGAAAATGAAATTGTTGAAAGATTATGACTCTCGAATGTATGCTATATATTAAGACAGCAATCAAAGTGCAATACCAACCTTGGTGATTGTCTTCTTGTTTGCTAAATGAAAGATAACTTTGACTTTTTTTACGTTTCGTGTTTTTATAACCTTCACGCTTCGTGTCGGAACGGCTTTGTCTCCGAGTGTGATTTCGATTTTTGGTTTCTTGTCGTTCTTTTTGGATGTCCACACATCACCACCAGGTCGTATGTCTGTCGGCTTCCGTCCATTCTTTGTAGAGGATGTCTTGATATTTCGATTTGGAATATAGGCAGGATTCTTCATACCATCGACAAGATTACACAATTCTTGGTGTCCTGTTGCTGCAAGAATAAATATGTTTCATCACGCAAACGATAGCTTAACGATACAAAATCATTTTGAAACGGAATCTATTCATATTGTTAGAGTGAAATCGAAGGTATTTAGTTCGATCTGTTTGAATGATACTTACTTGTTAAGAAGGGTACATACGATGTGCCTGCAAAAATAAAATAAAAAACCTAATCTATCTGCAGATTAGCTGAAGAAAAGTGATCGCGAAAAAATGACAAAACGAGTTTATTTCTTTTATCTATGACAGACAAAATATTTGAACGTTGTAGTAGGAAATAGTAGAATTTTGGTTGAAATTTTGTCTGTAGAAATAATTTGAATTTTCATCGCATAATTTTTGATTTTCATGATGTAATCATTTTTTATCCTTCCATATTCCAATATCCATTATTATTATTATTATTATTATTATTATTATTAATAATAATAATAATAATAATAACTGTCCAAGATTTCATTTTTGCTTCAGTCTTGTATCCGCCAGGCACGTACCTAAGAATGGTAATTCCTCTTTCATTGTGTCTTTGTTTTCTTCCAACTTTAATTAATATATTTCGTTTTTAATCTAATTTATCAAAGATATTGAATAAGGTGAGAACTTTTCAATGAAATTCATGTGAATAATACTTACTTCTTCCGACCAAATTCCTGCATAAATAGAATCACACACTTTCATTCACTTCCTTTTATAACATTTGTACATGGATTAGTATCATTCAGTTGCTATTGATCAGAAGGGTTTATTTTGAAATTAAGTTTTATTCATATCGCTCTCGTATAGGGTTTCTGGTTTTCTCTCGAAAGCCATAAAATCCGTAATTTCGCTTTTTCAGGCATTGTTTTACTCTTGCAAACTTGCAAATACATTTCAGTTCATGTATTTCGAGCAGTTATTTCCAAAGAAAGAAAAGAAAAAAAATATTACTTGTTTTTATTACACCAGGATATGAACGTCGTAATGCAAACCAAGACGAAAGCAACGTTAAAGTCAACATCCGTCATTGAAATCCAGTGGCAAATGCTACATGTTCAAACATTTTTTTAGCTTGATAGGAAAGATAAATGAATTTGAAGACAATGTTCTATTGAGATTGTTGGGTTTTTATTTTATAACAAGGCTCCCTAAATCAAGGAACTCCTGGACGAAAGGAAATGAAAAGAGAGGCGCCAAAATATGTTTGCTATTCTTCTTACCTGTGACAATGCAAAGCAACAATTAAAAAGGACATAATCATTGAACTTACAGGTTAGGGTTGTCCTCTAAAAGATGACTACCTTTAAGTTAAGGTGATGTCGTGAGTTTCAATCAAGGAATATCTCATTGGTGTGTATCTGGACGTTGGTCGCTGTACGTTTTGTTCCAACCCTTTCTCATTTTTGGGAATAATTCTCTGACTGCGCCAAGGGCACTGATTCCCTTGTTTACCCAGTTGTGTACTAATGGCGTTAATTCACATTGATTATGTGCTCCCTAGGTGAGGGGTTCTATCTAAAACTCTACACTATTAGCGTATGATGGCTTTCTAGACAAAAGAATTATCTCGAGTAATGTTCAAGTGATATTAGCGAATTCCTAAAGATACAAGACTTTTATATTTTGGTGACACGGGACACTGATCAATTTTATTGATAACGGATATGACATGAGGCAAGGGTCTATAAGTTTTAATTCGTCATCAAGTGCTGAAGTGTTTTCTATTAATAATATTAATAATCAAATAAACTCTTGTAAAATCTTTGATAGTCGTAATGAAGTCGAAATTAAAAAGAGTTGAGAAATTTAAATTCAAAACTTGTAATTACCGAAGTCAGGGATACTAAAGGTTCTAAAAGTTTGTGGTTTCACTGACGTTCGTATTTTAATGTGGAAACAGGCTTTGACCATCAATTCAGCGCTGACTGTTTGACGTGAATTCCTTTTCGTTAAATGGATGATGATTCTGCTGACATCTTTGCCTCTCTTGCTGACATATACAAACCTGTCAGGTCGCATCGTCTGTAAATATAAAACGCAAAATATTTTAAGAATTTATTTTTTCAAAAGGCAAAGTTTATACAATAATTATTTATTCGTATAAAAAATAATATAAACATTTAGAAAATAAGTTTTTAAAAATTTTAGATAAAAATAATTAGAACAATTTAACCTCGTGGAATAAATTTAGGTTCGAAATTCCAACAAATATCACCTGAAGAAGTCTGGAGAGCACATCGGCCGAAATGTTGTGAATATGGCAATAAAGATGAGTACAACAGTCCGAATGATGTAAATAGTGTAAATAAAAATAATTTATTTGAAAGAATTTTTAAATAGAATATTTTAAAAACTCTCCAATTCGACCACAGAAAGTAATGTCAATCTCTAATCTATGAAAATCTTCTGCCTAGTGAGTGGTGAGCTAAAAGAGGCATGATCGTCCAAATGTTTGTCACGTGTGTCATTTAACTGATTGATTGACTGAGCAGTTCTATGTTTTGATAAAAGTGGATTAGCAGAAACTTCAAAAGAAATGATCGCCAAACTTTTACACCGGAATCTATTAACCATAAATGTTTATATTGCCAATTTCCTTGTGGGTAAATCTTTGCAGAATGTGGAGCAAAATAAAATTGAAATCAGAGAAGCTTAAAAAAATAATTTAAATTTTGTACAACTCAGGATGATTGGTTCATAAATGTCTCGCATATCTAAGAAAAATAATTTACGGAGAAATTCTCGCGTTAAGTCTTTATGGAAGTTACTTTTTTTCTGCGAAGTTTTTCAGCAGTGGTGTAAGAAAAACAGTGTGAGGTAGCAATAGATAGAGGAGCCTCAGAGTGACAAGAGGACAACTATCTTATTCTTAAGGAATAATTCTATTAGACAATCTGCTGTCAATACTACGACTGATGTTTATTCCGTAAGGATGCCTATTCATAAAAACTCCGAAGTAAATAAAAATCTATCTCCACTGTTCAAATTGCTTCAGAAATATTCAGGATGGTCACAGTTTTAACAAAAGTAACCTAACATTTCTCTCTCTCTCAAGATATTTCTAGAAAAGAAAAGAACAAACGCTTTAACAAATCCAGGTTTTGCTGATTATTCGACTCACAGAGAAGCGATTAGTGCCAAATTAATATTTTAAAAATATCCCAAAAATCCTAAAATCGGCGAGACTTTTCCGAATTTTAACAGCCATTCTTCTTTTAAGTCTTTCTTTGATAAATGGTTTACGTGAATAGGGACTTTGAGATGTCAATGAGGAGTAGGAAAAGCAGCGTTTGTAAGCCTTTCTTCTCCCAAAGTCCTTTAGTTGCCAAGTGTGGGTGAGCTGGTTTCGGTGCTTACGCGACCGGCTTAAGCACGATGGTATTGAGTTAAGGACAGGTTTTGTTTTCAAGGCCTCTAAACAGAGGATTTGATTACTTTTCACATATGACTGTATTTCGTCTCCTTCCTTTTCTCGATTGGTTTTTTGAAAGAGAAATGATTCCAAATCTGTGAGTATTGTCAGCTGTTTAAGCTGTTATCTCCATCATAATATCGGCCAATCTGCCTCCAAAGTGACATTAGTAAAATCTTTCAGTCTATTATGATCAGGAAACACCCTCAGAAGCGACAAACAATATGGTTTTCGCTCCTCTACGTCCATTATGGCGGTTTAACTGTTATCGTATGAGTAAGCGATTATCCTAAATAACCCAAAAGGTTTTTGACAAGGTCTGGATAAGTCTACATAATTATCAAGTCATTTCTCTCAGGCAGGACAATAAAGGTCGTTTTTAATGGTCAGTTTACTGAAAGTTTTAAGAACAGGGTTCTCCCTAAGACTCTTTTTCCGGACTTATCTCTTTTCTGCTTTGTATTAACAGTCTCTACATATGGATTTCACAGCTTCGTAGTAAAACACACACACACAGACACAGACACTCACACACACACACACACACATATATATATATATATATATATATATATATATATATATATATGTATGTATGTATAGATGATAGCAGATAGTTCCAAAAATCCAGAGGACTGCATTTTTGCAGTTGACCATTCCACTGACCTCACTCTAAAAGGTCAATGGTGAAAAATGTCTTTTAACCTTCAGTGCATCAAACAGCCAGCTATTATCCTTTCATCATCATTACCTTATTTATTTCCTGTCACGAGGAATATTCGCTGAGTTCGGTGAGGCTCCATACTTGAATGTTTATTGGATCTCAAGTTCACGCCACTAGAACCCATCTTGATAATCCATTGCGAAGGATGATGGAAAAAAATGATCGGTTAATTCTATCACACCAGGAATTATCTGACTCCTTCTTCGCAAGAGTCATATTAGACCCAAAATGGAGTATTGCTATTCTATTTGGGTTGGAGCTGAACAATTCTCACTTTCCAACCTTTCTTAAGTTCAACATCGTTTACGAGATTCTGAGGTGTATAACCTATTCCCCATTCTACAAACTCTTTCCACACAAACGCAACATCACAGGCCAATGGCTATTATGTCGCTATTTCCATGGCAAAACATTCAGATAAGTTCTCGTTTTTCGTTCAACCAGTCCAGGTCTTTATAGCTACTACATGATATAATTTACATTCTAATAATAGTCCTCTATCTTAATTGGCTCTCGAGCCTTGTAACGCGTGAGATTTCGTATAAAAATAATAGTAAATAAAAGTTTCAATTTAAAAATTAAACCCATGTTTTTTTTATTTTCGCCATTCTTCTCTTTTTCGATATTATTCTTAGATTTTACAAGTTTTCACATTTTGCAACTATTTCTTATATTTTTCTCAAATCTTTTGTTCTTTATATTTGGTATTTTTGTAAGTCATTTTTAGAATATTTCAGGAATTCTGAAAATCTCAAAGAACGGTGGATCTTTTTATTAATTATTTGGATGCACCAGTTCTCAAATGTGTATTGAAATTTTTGCAAATGATCTTTTTGAATCTTGATTCATTGATAGCTTTTCATAAGGCAATGGATATTAAGAGATAAAACGCAAGAAACAGGTTTTAGGCTAAATAAATGGGAAAAATGGGAAATTTGATAAAGAAATAAGGGAATAAGAATTAAAACTGTAAATATCGAAGTGAAGAATTTCGGAATAGTAATAGACGAACCTTGGTGACTGTCTTCTTGTTTGCCAAGAGAAAGATAACTTTAACTTTTTTCACGTTTCGTGCATTTATAATCTTGACGCTTTGTGTAAGAACTGCGTTGTCTCCGAGTTTGATGTCGATTCTAGGTTTCTTGTCATATTTTTTGGAAGTCCACAAATCACCACCTGGTCGTACGTCGACGGGTCTCAGTCCTCTCTTCGTCGAGGAAGTCTTGATGTCTGGCGTAGAAATATATTTCGCGTCTTTCATACCATCAATGAACTGACAAACAGACGGCGTTGTTGCTGAAACGAAAGGAAGACATTATCACTTTCAGCAAAGAAATCATCGTCAAAAAATTAAAACAGAACAAATGCCATTCAAAACAAATTTTAACTGATTTCTACATTTACAACAGACGAGGATTTAACTTAACTCGGAGGAATTCACTTACTTGATAAGAACGACGGTTGTGATGTGCCTGAAAATAAAAGAACGAATGAAATTAATATAAGTTCAGAGACAATTTATTAAAGAATTAGGAAAAAAACTGAGTGTATATATGGAAAGAAAGATATGTAAACACTTCTTTAAACATTGCATCATTAGAATTCGTTATAATATCTTGTTGGATCCAACACTTCTCTCCCCAGCTATGGGTGAATAGAAGGACATAGTTCTATATACAATACTATGCAGTGAAGGAAAGGAACGCTCGCAGTGACTCGATGAACCCAACTATGGTTGACTCCTTAACAGGCTGGGTTCTATAGCCTTGGATTGAAACCTGTCTAAAAGGAAATCTCTGAGTTCAAAACTGTATGCAACCCTGGCGAAGTACATACTATGCAGCTAAGGAAAAGATCGATCGAATTGATTCGATGATCCCGACAACAATTGGAGACGTGATGCATCGAATATCGTGTAAAAGGGAACAGCTAACTTCTTTAAGCTGACAATTTTATTTGAAACCGAATCAAATTATTTTCATAGTAAAATCAAAGGGATTTTGTCAAATATGTTTGTATGATACTTACTTGTTAAGTATGGTGTTTGAGATGTGCCAGCAAAAATAAAGGAAACAAAGCCATTCAGATTGACTGAAATGTTTTCATAACATAATGTTTCTCACCTTCATTATCGAGAATGAAATAGTTTTGCTATACGTGAATTACTGTACTTGTGCTGAGATTTAATTGTGAAGAATTTATCATTTTCCATATCACATGTCAAAAATGGTGGCTTGAATGCCAATTTCTAGGAGCGAACCTGGCGACGAAGAAGTTGTTAAATTGCTAGGCATATAAAATCTAGCTGAAATGATTCATCTTTATTATTTTACAACTTATTCAGTATTAGTTTGTTCTGACATACTGCCATTCACTTGTGAGGACATTTTACCAATGGAGATTGTAATGTGTTATAGGGTTTTTGTCTTTAAAGGTATTTGAAAAAATCCTTATTTTCAGTGAAGTCAATGAATCTCAACAATTGATAAATAAATAAAGATTTCATGTTTTCAATGGTTCTTGTTTTTTATTTTTATTGGATGTCATAATGGAGTTACGACCGAGCAGACATGTCGTAGTTCATCTAACATTGCGAAGAGTAAGTTTTTACCTGTGACTGGAGTTTGTGATGTTGAAATATAAGTTAATGGTGTTTCTGTAGTGGTCTTTGGGTGGAAACAAGCCTTGACAACCACTTCGGCACTAACTGGCCGACGTCGATTCTTTTTAATCAGGTAGACGATAACTTTGTGGACATCTTTGTTCTTGTTGCTGACGTAGGCTTTCTCATCCGGTTTTACAATCTGCAAATAAGAAAGCAGTCCAAAGATTACTTATTATTATGACTTCTTACTTTTGGGAGGTTCCAAGCATAAAATGTCAAAGAATGTTGTCTTTTAGAACAGGTGACTTTTAGGCTGCCTTTTCGTATGATTCAGTCACTTTTGCTAGAAGTAAGTAGTATTGCAAACAATATTCGATTAATGCATGCTAGCGAAAATGTAATCGTATGAATTGCTATTGAAAAAACGTTCGCCGTTATTTAATTTACATTCTAACAAAATGTGTTATTTGAAAGCGTACTTGGAATAAAGAGATTTCTCCAGTCAAAGAAAAAAAGAAAAAGAAAAGAAAATGCAATACTAACCTTGGTGATTGTCTTCTTGTTTGCTAAATGAAAGATAACTTTGACTTTTTTCACGTTTCGTGTTTTTATAACCTTGACGCTTCGTGTCGGAACGGCTTTGTCTGCGAGTGTGATTTCGATATTTGGTTTCTTGTCGTTCTTTTTGGATGTCCACACATCACCACCAGGTCGTATGTCTGTCGGCTTCCGTCCATTCTTTGTAGAGGATGTCTTGATATTTCGATTTGGAATATAGGCTGGGTTTTTCATACCATCGTCAAGATGGCACAATTCTTGCCGCCCTGTTGCTGCAAGAAGAAATATATGTTTCATTACGCAAAACGATGAAACATTAATTTAAAACTGAATGAAGTTATTTTATTCGATCTGTTAGGATGATACTTACTTGTTAAGGATGGCGTTTGAGATGTGCCTGAAAAAATAACAGAAACATTGGTATTCAGATTGATTGAAGTAAATGACTGAAAATAACTAAGGAAAGCATTGTTTAAATAACGGAATCGCCTCTGCCTATTAGAGGTAATCAGGCTGACAGGCTTGGACTTTGTCTCAGGAATTAGTGGAATATCTGGTTACCAAGATTATACCAAAGTTAGAAATTGTCTTTCTTTCATGAAGACAGTTGCACGGGTGTTGCATTGAATGTCAAGTAAAACGGAACAACTAAATTCCTTAAGGTGAAAAATCAATTTGAAACCGAATAAAATTATTTTCAGAGTGAAGGAAAAGTATTTTGATCGATTTGTTTCGGTGATACTTACTTGTCAAGAAAGGTGCTTGAGATGTGTCTGGACAGATAAAAGAGATAGTGATATTTCGATTAGCTGAAAATTGATCGCTAACATCCTTGGAAAACTTTGTTTTAATAACCATGCGCATATTGGTTTGAAACAAACCTGGGAGCGTATATCATTATTTTTTTTTTAACATGATATATATATATATATATATATATATATATATATATATATATATATATATATATATGATAATATATATATATATATATATATATATAAGAAATAGGAAAAGTTTAGGAATCTAACATGTTTCCTTTTATTAAATCTTCATCAGAGAATGAAATATGGAATAAACATTTTTTCTCTAATGACGCTTTAATAAAAGTGAATCATGTTAGATTGATAAACCTTTCCTATTTGTTCTTTATTCAATCATTCCGTCGGATTCAGTTCCATATTTGATCTGAATTTGATCCCAACTCATAAATATATAACTTTTGTCTTTGAATGTCAATTAGGATATATATCCTCAATTTTATTCCGGCCTAAATGTTTTTGTATAACTATTACAGACTGGCCTGGTTGGATGTTGCAGTATAGAATTATGGAATATGAACAGAAGTTTAAGGGAATTATAGAAGAGAGAGGGAGAGAGAGAGGGGCGAGGCAGAAAGAGGGAGAGAGAGGTTTGAGAAAAAAGATGGGGAAAGATAGAGAGAGAGGGAGAAGTGAAAGAGGGTTGAGATAGGGAAAGAGTGAGAGAGAGAGAAATCGGTTGAAGAGAAATATTGTATGTGATGTAAAGTTTGCGAAAAAGAATATCAAATACTTACCCGTGACGGTAGATTGTATTGTTGAAAGAAAAGTTGATGGCGTTGGTGTCGTGGTCTTTGGATGGAAGCAAGCCTTGACAATCACTTCAGCACTAATTGGCCGACGCCGATTCTTTTTAATTAGGGAGACGATAATCTTGCGGACATTTTTATTCTTGTCGCTAACGTATGCTTTCTCATTCGGTTTGACAATCTGCAAAAGACAATGCAGCCAAAAGATTACACAACGTTATGACATTCTAGTTTTATGATTTTCAAACAAACATTAAATGTAAAAGGTAGATTGTGTCGTAGAAATTGAAGTGTCTTCTATCTTGTCATTACACAAGATTGTTAGTCAATGATGTTGCCTAAAACCAGACAAGCGAAAGTAAACATGGGAAAAATTAATAACAAAGAAAATGAAATTGTTGAAAGCTTATGACTCTCGAATGTATGCTATATATTAAGACAGCAATCAAAGTGCAATACCAACCTTGGTGATTGTCTTCTTGTTTGCTAAATGAAAGATAACTTTGACTTTTTTCACATTTCGTGTTTTTATAACCTTCACGCTTCGTGTCGGAACGGCTTTGTCTCCGAGTGTGATTTCGATATTTGGTTTCTTGTCGTTCTTTTTGGATGTCCACACATCACCACCAGGTCGTATGTCTGTCGGCTTCCGTCCATTCTTTGTAGAGGATGTTTTGATATTTTGATTTGGAATATAGGCAGGGTTCTTCATACCATCGTCAAGATGACACAATTCTTGGTGTCCTGTTGCTGAAAGAATAAATAAAGGTTTCATCACACAAACGATAGCTTAACGATACAAAATAATTTTGAAACGGAATCTATTCATATTGTTCGAGTAAAATCGAAGGTATTTAGTTCGATCTGTTTGAATGATACTTACTTGTTAAGAATGGTACATACGATGTGCCTGCAAAAATAAAATAAAAAACCTAATCTGCAGATTAGCTGAAGAAAAGTGATCGCGAAAAAATGACAAAACGAGTTTATTTCTTTTATCTATGACAGACAAAAAAATTTGAACGTTGTAGTAGGAAATAGTAGAATTTTGGTTGAAATTTTGTCTGTAGAAATAATTTGAATTTTCATCGCATAATTTTTGATTTTCATGACGTAATCATTTTTTCATTTCCTTCCATATTCAATATCCATTATTATTATTATTATTATTATTATTATTATTATTATTATGAATAACTGTACAAGATTGCCTTTTTGCTTCAGTCTTGTATCCACCAGGCACGTACCTAAGAATGGTAATTCCTCTTTCATTGTGTCTTTGTTTTCGTTTTTAATCTAATTTATCAAAGATATTGAATAAGGTGAGAACTTTTCAATGAAATTCATGTGAATAATACTTACTTCTTCCGACCAAATTCCTGCATAAATAGAATCACACACTTTTACTCACTTCCTTTTATAACATTTATCCATGGAATATTATCATTCAGTTGCTATTGATGAGAAGGGTTTATTTTGAAATTGTTTTATTCATATCGCTCTCGTATAGGGTCTCTGGTTTTCTCTCGAAAGCCATAAAATCCGTAGTTTCGCTTTTTCAGGCATTGTTTTACTCTTGCAAACTTGCAAATACATTTCAGTTCATGTATTTCGAGTAGTTATTTCCAAAGAAAGAAAAGAAAAAAAATGATTACTTGTTTTTATTTGTTATGGGACCTTACCCATAATAAAATAATGGACTATTCCATACGTAATAAATACTGCGCCTCAAGAGGAAGCAGAGAGTCCCGTCTGAAGTCTGGAGTGAAGTCCGTCAGGAGTCTGTCAGTCAGTCAGAGCGAGCGAGTCAGTCAGTCAGTCTGTCGAGTCAGAGGCAGTCCGAAACTGAGTCGTGTTCAAACAATTAATGCTAAACCTTATTGTTCGTACTAACATTTTTCTATTTCTCTGTATATCTTCCTGTTTGTAATATATCTGTATTATTCCATATACGTGTTGAGTTCTTCTTTATTGCTTCTACCTTGGACTATCACCGTGGTACAAGGAACCGGACCATAACATTATTACACCAGGATATGAACGTCGTAATGCAAACCAAGACGAAAGCAACGTTAAACTCAACATCCGTCATTGAAATTCAGTGGCAAATGCTACATGTTCAAACATATTTTTTTTAGCTTGACAGGAAAGATAAATGAATTTGAAGACAATGTTCTATTGCGATTGTTGGGTTTTTATTTTATAACAAGGCTCCCTAAATCAAGGAACTCCTGAACGAAAGGAAATGAAAAGAGAGGCGCCAAAATATGTTTGCTATTCTTCTTACCTGTGACAATGCAAAGCAACAATTAAAAAGGACATAATCATTGAACTTACAGGTTAGGGTTGTACTCTAAAAGATGACTACCTTTAAGTTAAGGTGATGTCGTGAGTTCCAATCAAGGAATATCTCATTGGTGTGTGTCTGGACGTTGGTCGCTGTACGTTTTGTTCCAACCCTTTCTCATTTTGGGGAATAATTCTCTAACTGTTCCAAGGGCACTGATTCCCTTGTTTACCCAGTTGTGTACTAAGAGCGTTAATTCACCTTGGTTATCTGCTCACTAGGCGAGGGGTTCTATCTAAAACTCTACACTATTAGCGTATGATGGCTTTCTAGACAAAAGAATTATCTCGAGTAATGTTCAAGTGATATTAGCGAATTCCTAAAGATACAAGACTTTTATATTTTGGTGACACGGGACACTGATCAATTTTATTGATAACGGATATGACATGAGGCAAGGGTCTATATGTTTTAATTCGTCATCAAGAGCTGAAGTGTTTTCTATTAATAATATTAATAATCAAATAAACTCTTGTAAAATCTTTGATAGTCGTAATGAAGTCGAAACTAAAAAGAGTTGAGAAATTTAAATTCAAAACTTGTAATTACCGAAGTCAGGGATACTAAAGGTTCTAAAAGTTTGTGGTTTCACTGACGTTCGTACTTTAATGTGGAAACAGGCTTTGACCATCAATTCAGCGCTGACTGTTTGACGTGAATTCCTTTTCGTTAAATGGATGATAATTCTGCTGACATCTTTGCCTCTCTTGCTGACATATACATATCTGTCAGGTCGCATCGTCTGTAAATATAAAACGCAAATACAATAGAGAAGCAACTAAATTGAAATCGCGATCCAATTCTGAAAATAAATAAAGATTATTTAAACCCTAAGAATGTTTAAGAGATCACCTTTACTTTCACAGCAATTTTGTGCAACTCATTAGGATAAAATATTATCGGAAATCAGAAAAATGAGACTTTTGAAATCCGGCAGATTATAAGAATTTATTTTTTTAAACGAAAAAGTTTATACAATAATTATTTATTCGTATAAAAATAATATAAACATTTAGAAAATAAGTTTTTTAAATTTTAAATAAAAATAATGAAAACAATCTAACCGCGTGGAATAAATAAAATTTCGGTTTGAAATTTCAACAAATATCACCTGAAGAAGTCCGAAGCGTACATCGGCCGAAACGTCGTGAATATGGCAATAAAGATGAGTACAACAGTCCGAATGATGTAAATAGTGTAAATAAAAATAAATATTTGAAAGAATTTTTAAATAGAATATCTTAAAAGCTCTCGAATTCGACCACAAAAAGAAATGTCAATCTCTAATCTATGAAAATCTTCTGCCTAGTGAGTTGTGAGTCAAAAGAGGCATGATCGTCCAAATGTTTGTCACGTGTGTCATTTGACTGATTGATTGACTGAGCAGTTCTATGTTTTGATAAAAGTGGATTAACAGCAACTTCGAAAGAAATGAGCGCCAAACTTTTACACCGGAATCTATTAACCATAAATGTTTATATTGCCAATTTCCTTGTGGGTAAATCTTTGCAGAATGTGGAGCAAAATAGAATTGAAATCAGAGAAGCTGAAAAAAATAATTTAAATTTTGTACAACTCAAGATGATTGGTTCATAAATGCCTCGCATGTCTAAGAAAAATAATTTACGGAGAAATTCTCGCGTAAGTCTTTATGGAAGTTACTTTTTTTCTGCGAATTTTTTCAGCAGTGGTGTAAGAAAAGCAGTGTGAGGTAGCGGTAGAGAGAGAACCCTCAGAGTGACAAGAGGACAACTATCTTATTCTTAAGGAATAGTTCTATTAGACAATGTGCTGTCAATACTACAACTGATCTTTATTCCGTAAGTATGCCTGTTCATAAAACCCCCAACGAAAATAAAAATCTATCTCCCCTGTTCAAATTGCTTCAGAAATATTCAGGATGCTCACAGTTTTAACAAAACTAACCTAACATTTTTCTCTCTCTCTCTCTCAAGATATTTCTAGATAAGAAAAGCACAAACGCTTTAACAAATCCAGGTTTTGCTGATTATTCGACTCACAGAGAAGCGATTTGTGCCAAATTAATATTTTAAAAATATCCATAAAAGCCTAAAATCGGAATTTTAACAGCCAGCCTACTTTTTAGTCTTTCTTTGATAAATAGTTTACGTGAATAGGGTCTTGGAGATGTCAATGAGGAGTAGGAAATATCTTCTTATTTCCGAGCAGCTTTTGCAAGCCTTTCTTCTCACAAAGTCCTTTAGTTGCCACGTGTGGGTGAGCTGGTCTCGGTGCTTACGCGATCCGCTTAAGCACGGTGGTATTGAGTTAAGGGCAGGTTTTCTTTTCATGGTCTCTAAACAGATGATTTGGTTCAATTTCACATATGACTGTATTTTGTCACCTTCCTTTTCTCGATTGTTTTTTTTTTGAAAGAGAAATGTTTCCTAAATCTGTGAGTATTGTCAGCTGTTTAAGCTGTTATCTCCAACATAATATCGGCCAATCTGCCTCCAAAGTGACATTAGTAAACTCTTTCAGTCTATTATCATCAGGAAACACCCTCAGAAGCGACAAACAATATGGTTTTCGCTCCTCTACGTCCACTTATGATAGTTTAACTGTTATCGTATGAGTGAGCGATTATCCTAAATATCCCAAAGGTTTTTGACAAGGTCTGGATAAGTCTACATAATTATCAAGTCATTTCTCTCAGGCAGGTCAATAAAGGTCGTTTTTAATGGTCAGTTTACTGAAGAGTTTAAGAACAGGGGTTCTCCCCTATCTCTTTTCTCTTTTTTTAACAGTCCCTATCTCAGGTTTTCTGCTTTTTATTATATAGTCTCTATATATGGATTTCCATAAATCCAGAGGATTGTGGTTCTAAAATGTCAATGGTAACTTCACTACATCAAACCCCTATTATCCTTTCATATATTATATATATATATATATATATATATATATATATATATATATATATATATATGAAGGATGATGGAAAAATAGTTCCATAAATCGAAAAGGATTGTATTTTTTGCAGTTGACCTCACCTTCTAAAATGTCAATGGTGAAAAATGTCATTTTAACCTTCACTACATCAAACAGGCCAAGCTATTATCCTTTCATCATCATTAGTTGGCGTTTATTTATTTCCTATCTCGATATAAGGAACATTTTTTGTCCTCAGTCGGCCTTGAGGCTCCATTTCGTATTAATGTAAAATGTCAATTTAAAAATAAACCAGTGTTTTTTCATTTTCGCCATTCTTTTCTTTTTAGATAATCCCAGTTCTCGCATTTTGCAAATTTCTTATATTTTGCGTAAAAGGATGATGTAAAAGAATTCTCAAGAATTCAAATTAGACCTAGAAAATGGAGGATGATTGAAAAAAATTCTATTTGGGTAGATCCAAATGAACAATTTATTCTATTTTCCAACAATTTCTTAAGTTCAACATCGTTTAGGCGCTTCTGAGGTGGAAAACCTATTCTCTATTCTACAGACTCTTTCCACACAAACGCAACATCACAGGCCAATGGCTACTATGTCGCTATTTCCATGGCAAAACATTCAGATAAGTTCTCGTTTTTCGTTCAACCAGTCCAGGCCTTTATAGCTACTACATGATATAATTTACATTTTAATAATAGTCCTTTATATTAATTAACTCTCGGGCCTTGTAGCGAGTAAGATTTCGTATAAAAATAATAGTAAATAAAAGTTTCAATTTAAAAATTAAGACCGTGGTTTTTTTATTTTCGCCATTCTTCTCTTTTTCGATATTATTCTTAGATTTTACAAGTTTTCACATTTTGCAATTATTTCTTATATCTTGCTCAAATCTTTTGTAGATTTGTTCTTTATATTTGGTATTTTTGTAAATCATTTTTAGAATATTTCAGGAATTATGAAAATGTCAAAGAACAGTGCATCTTTTATTAATTATTTAGATGCACTAGTTATCAAACATGTATTGAAATTTTTGCTACCGATCTTTTTGAATACTGATCCATTGATAGCTTTTCATAAGGCAATGGATATTAAGAGATGAAAAGCAAGAAACAGGTTTTAGGCTAAATAAATGAGAAAAATGTGAAATTTGATAAAGAAATAAGGGAATAAGAATTAAAACTGTAAATATCGAAGTGAAGAATTTCGGAATAGTAATAGACGAACCTTGGTGACTGTCTTCTTGTTTGCCAAGAGAAAGATAACTTTAACTTTTTTCACGTTTCGTGCATTTATAATCTTGACGCTTTGTGTAAGAACTGCGTTGTCTCCGAGTTTGATGTCGATTCTAGGTTTCTTGTCATATTTTTTGGAAGTCCACAAATCACCACCTGGTCGTACGTCGACGGGTCTCAGTCCTCTCTTCGTCGATGAAGTCTTGATGTCTGGCGTAGAAATATATTTCGCGTCTTTCATACCATCAACGAACTGACAAACAGACGGCGTTGTTGCTGAAACAAAAGGAAGACATTATCACTTTCATCAAAGAAATCATCATCAAAAAATTAAAACAGAACAAATGCCATTCAAAACAAATTTTAACTGATTTCTACATTTACAACAGACGAGGATTTAACTTAACTCGGAGGAATTCACTTACTTGATAAGAACGACGGTTGTGATGTGCCTGAAAATAAAAGAACGAATGAACTTAATATAATTTCACAGACAATTTATTAAAGAATTAGGAAAAAAACTGAGTGTATATATGGAAAGAAAGATATGTAAACACTTCTTTAAACATTGCATCATTAGAATTCGTTATAATAACTTGTTGGATCCAACACTTCTCTCCCCAGCTATGGGTGAATAGAAGGACATAGTTCTATATACAATACTATGCAGTGAAGGAAAGGAACGCTCTCAGTGACTCGATGATCTTAACTATGGTTGACTCCTTAACAGACTGGGTTCTATAGCCTTGGATTGAAACCTATCTAAAAGGAAATCTCTGAGTTCAAAACTGTATGTAGCCCTGGCGAAATACATACTATGCAGCTAAGGAAAAGATCGATCGAATTGTTTCGATGATCCCGACAACAATTGGAGACGTGATTCATCGAATATCGTGTAAAAGGAACAGCTAAATTCTTTAAGCTGAGAATTTCATTTGAAACCGAATCAAATTATTTTCATAGTAAAATCAAAGGGATTTTGTCAAATATGTTTGTATGATACTTACTTGTTAAGTATGGTGTTTGAGATGTGCCAGCAAAAATAAAGGAAACAAAGCCATTCAGATTGACTGAAATGTTTTCATAACATAATGTTTCTCACCTTCATTATCGAGAATGAAATAGTTTTGCTATACGTGAATTACTGTACTTGTGCTGAGATTTAATTGTGAAGAATTTATCATTTTCCATATCACATGTCAAAAATGGTGGCTTGAATGTCAATTTCTAGGAGCGAACCTGGCGACGAAGAAGTTGTTAAATTGCTAGGCATATAAAATCTAGCTGAAATGATTCATCTTTATTATTTTACAACTTATTCAGTATTAGTTTGTTCTGACATACTGCCATTCACTTGTGAGGACATTTTACCAATGGAGATTGTAATGTGTTATAGGGATTTGTCTTTAAAGGTATTTGAAAAAATCCTTATTTTCAGTGAAGTCAATGAATCTCAACAATTCATAAATAAAGATTTCATGTTTTCAATGGTTCTTGTTTTTTATTTTTATTGGATGTCATAATGGAGTTACGACCGAGCAGACATGTCGTAGTTCATCTAACATTGCGAAGAGTAAGTTTTTACCTGTGATTGGAGTTTGTGATGTTGAAATATAAGTTAATGGCGTTGCTGTAGTGGTCTTTGGGTGGAAACAAGCCTTGACAACCACTTCGGCACTAACTGGCCGACGTCGATTCTTTTTAATCAGGTAGACGATAACTTTGTGGACATCTTTGTTCTTGTTGCTGACGTAGGCTTTCTCATCCGGTTTTACAATCTGCAAATAAGAAAGCAGTCCAAAGATTACTTATGATTATGACTTCTTACTTTTGGGAGGTTTCAAGCATAAAATGTCAAAGAATGTTGTCTTTTAGAACACAGGTGACTTTTAGGCTGCCTTTTCGTATGATTCAGTCACTTTTGCTAGAAGTAAGTAGTATTGCAAACAATATTCGATTAATGCATGCTAGCGAAAATGTAATCGTATGAATTGCTATTGAAAAAACGTTCGCCGTTATTTAATTTACATTCTAACAAAATGTGTTATTTGAAAGCGTACTTGGAATAAAGAGATTTCTCCAGTCAAAGAAAAAAAAGAAAAAGAAAAGAAAATACAATACTAACCTTGGTGATTGTCTTCTTGTTTGCTAAATTAAAGATAACTTTGACTTTTTTCACGTTTCGTGCTTTTATAACCTTGACGCTTCGTGTCGGAACGGCTTTGTCTGCGAGTGTGATTTCGATATTTGGTTTCTTGTCGTTCTTTTTGGATGTCCACACATCACCACCAGGTCGTATGTCTGTCAGCTTCCGTCCATTCTTTGTCGAGGATATCTTGATATTTCGATTTGGAATATAGGCAGAATTCTTCATACCATCGTCAAGATGACACAATTCTTGGTGTCCTGTTGCTGCAAGAATAAATATAGGTTTCATCACGCAAACGATAGCTTAACGATACAAAATCATTTTGAAACGGAATCTATTCATATTGTTAGAGTGAAATCGAAGGTATTTAGTTCAATCTGTTTGAATGATACTTACTTGTTAAAAATGGTACATACGATGTGCCTGCAAAAATAAAATAAAAAACCTAATCTGCAGATTAGCTGAAGAAAAGTGATCGCGAAAAAATGACAAAACGAGTTTATTTCTTTTATCTATGACAGACAAAAAAATTTGAACGTTGTAGTAGGAAATAGTAGAATTTTGGTTGAAATTTTGTCTGTAGAAATAATTTGAATTTTCATCGCATAATTTTTTGATTTTCATGACGTAATCATTTTTTTATCCTTCCATATTCCAATATCCATTATTATTATTATTATTATTATTATTATTATTAATAATAATAATAATAACTGTCCAAGATTTCCTTTTTGCTTCAGTCTTGTATCCGCCAGGCACGTACCTAAGAATGGTAATTCCTCTTTCATTGTGTCTTTGTTTTCTTCCAACTTTAATTAATATATTTCGTTTTAATCTAATTTATCAAAGATATTGAATAAGGTGAGAACTTTTCAATGAAATTCATGTGAATAATACTTACTTCTTCCGACCAAATTCCTGCATAAATAGAATCACACACTTTCATTCACTTCCTTTTTATAACATTTATCCATGGATTAGTATCATTCAGTTGCTATTGATGAGAAGGGTTTATTTTGAAATTAAGTTTTATTCATATCGCTCTCGTATAGGGTTTCTGGTTTTCTCTCGAAAGCCATAAAATCCGTAATTTCACTTTTTCAGGCATTGTTTTACTCTTGCAAACTTGCAAATACATTTCAGTTCATGTATTTCGAGCAGTTATTTCCAAAGAAAGAAAAGAAAAAAAATATTACTTGTTTTTATTACACCAGGATATGAACGTCGTAATGCAAACCAAGACGAAAGCAACGTTAAAGTCAACATCCGTCATTGAAATCCAGTGGCAAATGCTACATGTTCAAACATTTTTTAGCTTGATAGGAAAGATAAATGAATTTGAAGACAATGTTCTATTGCGATTGTTGGGTTTTTATTTTATAACAAGGCTCCCTAAATCAAGGAACTCCTGGACGAAAGGAAATGAAAAGAGAGGCGCCAAAATATGTTTGCTATTTTTCTTACCTGTGACAATGCAAAGCAACAATTAAAAAGGACATAATCATTGAACTTACAGGTTAGGGTTGTCCTCTAAAAGATGACTACCTTTAAGTTAAGGTGATGTCATGAGTTTCAATCAAGGAATATCTCATTGGTGTGTGTCTGGACGTTGGTCGCTGTACGTTTTGTTCCAACCCTTTCTCATTTTGGGGAATAATTCTCTGACTGCGCCAAGGGCACTGATTCCCTTGTTTACCCAGTTGTGTACTAAGGGCGTTAATTCACCTTGGTTATCTGCTCACTAGGCGAGGGGTTCTATCTAAAACTCTACACTATTAGCGTATGATGGCTTTCTAGACAAAAGAATTATCTCGAGTAATGTTCAAGTGATATTAGCGAATTCCTAAAGATACAAGACTTTTATATTTTGGTGACACGGGACACTGATCAATTTTATTGATAACGGATATGACATGAGGCAAGGGTCTATAAGTTTTAATTCGTCATCAAGTGCTGAAGTTTTTTCTATTAATAATATTAATAATCAAATAAACTCTTGTAAAATCTTTGATAGTCGTAATGAAGTCGAAACTAAAAAGAGTTGAGAAATTTAAATTCAAAACTTGTAATTACCGAAGTCAGGGATACTAAAGGTTCTAAAAGTTTGTGGTTTCACTGACGTTCGTACTTTAATGTGGAAACAGGCTTTGACCATCAATTCAGCGCTGACTGTTTGACGTGAATTCCTTTTCGTTAAATGGATGATAATTCTGCTGACATCTTTGCCTCTCTTGCTGACATATACATATCTGTCAGGTCGCATCGTCTGTAAATATAAAACGCAAATACAATAGAGAAGCAACTAAATTGAAATCGGGATCCAATTCTGAAAATAAATAAAGATTATTTAAACCCTAAGAATGTTTAAGAGATCACCTTTACTTTCACAGCAATTTTGTGCAACTCATTAGGATAAAATATTATCGGAAATCAGAAAATGAGACTTTTTGAAATCCGGCAGATTATAAGAATTTATTTTTTTAAACGAAAAAAGTTTATACAATAATTATTTATTCGTATAAAAAAATAATATAAACATTTAGAAAATAAGTTTTTTAAATTTTAAATAAAAATAATGAAAACAATCTAACCGCGTGGAATAAATAAAATTTCGGTTTGAAATTTCAACAAATATCACCTGAAGAAGTCCGAAGCGTACATCGGCCGAAACGTCGTGAATATGGCAATAAAGATGAGTACAACAGTCCGAATGATGTAAATAGTGTAAAAAAAAATAAATATTTGAAAAGAATTTTTTAAATAGAATATCTTAAAAGCTCTCGAATTCGACCACAAAAAGAAATGTCAATCTCTAATCTATGAAAATCTTCTGCCTAGTGAGTTGTGAGTCAAAAGAGGCATGATCGTCCAAATGTTTGTCGTGTGTCATTTGACTGATTGATTGACTGAGCAGTTCTATGTTTTGATAAAAGTGGATTAACAGCAACTTCGAAAGAAATGAGCGCCAAACTTTTACACCGGAATCTATTAACCATAAATATTTATATTGCCAATTTCCTTGCGGGTAAATCTTTGCAGAATGTGGAGCAAAATAGAATTGAAATCAGAGAAGCTGAAAAAAATAATTTAAATTTTGTACAACTCAAGATGATTGGTTCATAAATGC